TAATCTTGATTAAACTATATAAAAATCAGTCAGCTGAATACTTTTGCACATATTTAAGTCTGTGGGACCTGAAGGATTTCTTGTCCTCTTATTCCTCCTTAATTCCTGTTTATCTTATGAAGTTTTTGTGTTACATTTACGACCTGTTCACATAACTCTACATCACTTAATAGTCATCAGATTTTTGTACTTTTGAACTTTTCAGTTCTCGTCAAAACACATTTAAAACACCTTTGTTTGTTTCAAATGAACACAAATATGTTTTTGGGGTTGTAAAAAATATAGAAAAGGTTTAATTTAAAGCCGCTTAACATAAGATTGCAGCCTACTAAATGTAGAAAATTATAATGATATTAATAATGTCTAAGAATACTTTTGGAGTGTACTGTATCATTGAAATGAAGCCATGTTTTTATAAAAAATAATGCTGTATAAATAACAAAAACAACATGTTTTATTGTACACAAACCGTTTTGGCCTCTGCTTCTAACCCCTTCAGGTGAATTTCATTGCCTGTCAGCTGTTTGGATTAGCAGCTGCATTCTGGTTTCGCCTCTTTCTCAGTCCCCAACGTGCCACTCCTGAGGTCCGACATGCGGTCGCTGCCATCCTTGGAGCTTCGTCTGTCATGTTTTGCTTTGGCTGGTACAGGAGACAGCTTTTCTGATTGACACTTCTCATGACACGATCAATTCTTGAGATTTTCAGATACTGTAAAACATTGTTTGCACACTTATTACGAAAGTATAATATTTTTCATTAAAATATCAAAAAAAAAAATAAACATTGTTAGATATTTTGCTGACTTACGATATTCCGAATTTAAAGAATGCTAAAATCCAGAGAAATAAGCAAATTTACTTAGTGACCGTTTCCTGTGTGTTCATGCTAACAACCAGACCCTACAGGAATTTGCGATTCAGTGATCAATGATTTTAAAGGTGCAGTATGCAAGTTTGCCACCCAGTGGTTGAACTAGGTATTGCATTCCTGGATAAAACACAAGCAAGCGCAGGTTGCCAGATTTAGTACCAACAGGAGTGTTCCTGACTATCGAGCCTAAAGGCTGATTTAAATCGTGTTCTAACTAAAAACAACGTCACACGATAGAAGGAATATTTTCCATATAAAAAGAAGTTTTTTTTATCAACTCGAAAGCGAATTTATATTTTAGAAATGGCTTCTGTTTCTCATAGCTGAACAATAGAAAACTGACAATGATCACCTCAGGTACACCACATGTGTTTTATTTTGTGTTTAATGCTAATAATGTTAGTTTGAATGTCATGTTTACATGACATTTATTGTCATACTACTGAAAGCAGCAGCAGATAGTTCACCTCAGATCTTAAAAATAAATAAACTGTCTGAAATTGAACATTGGAACTGTGACTCAGTGCAAACCAACACATATCAGTGATTCAGCATTTACATTTAATTATGTTTAAGAGGTTTAATATGTGTTAATTAGATTATAAACCTTACCATTTCGCTGGAGTGCATTCTGTGTTTCTGAATGGCTGTATTTACATTTCTGTTGAGTTTCATTGGGTAATTTCATTTTCTCATCACGTAGCGTATTGTTAGGACACTGGGTTACAATGTAACCTGCTCACCTAATGTTTACGTTCATAATATATATATATATACATATATATATATATATATATATATATATATATATATATATATATATATATATATATATATATATATATATATATATATATATATATATATATATATATATATATATATATATATATATATATATATATATATATATATATATATATATATATATATATATATATATATACATATATACATATATATATATATATATATATATATATATATATATATATATATATATATATATATATATATATATATATATCAGTCATCATATTGCACATCCTAAATGTCACTGCATGCAAAATAAACAATACAAATGCTCTGTATTTCCGTGATGATGAGTGTCATTCAATTACAAGGCATAAACACTTGGATTTTAGCCTGAAAGATGCTTCCTGTGCAGACGGATCCATCTATAGGCCATTACTGTGGCTTCCTGAATTCAATATTTAATATTCATTAATATTCCAATTACTGGAGTGCACGGCGAGTAATATTTTCATCTGACTTTTTTTGTTTGTTTGTTTCTCTCCTCTCAGCTCCGGTTATCAACAGATTTGTCCGGAGAGCTTCTGGTAAGTTTGATATTGCTAAAATTACACATTCATTAATAGGAATATACACTACCTGACAAAAGTCTTATTGTGGATTCCAGTTGTAAGAGCAACAAATAACTTGATTTGTAGTTCAATCATTTGTTGAGCTGCATCCCAATCATCACAAATACTGCAGAAGACCTACTTAAACCCGCATGGAGCCAAGATTCTCACAGAAATCAGTCAAGTTTGGTGAAGGAAAAATCATGGTTTGGGGTTACGTTTAGTATAGGGGAGTGCGAGAGATCTGCAACATCAACAGCCTGAGGTATGAAGACATCTGTGCTGCCCATTACATTCAAACCACAGGAGAGGGACAATTCTCCAGCAGGATAGCGCTCCTTCTCATACTTCAGCCTCCACATCAAAGCTCCTGAAAGCAAAGAAGGCTAAGCTGCTCTAATTTTGGCCAGCCCAGTCACCAGACATGAACATTAGTGAGTATGTCTGGGGTAAGATGAAGGAGGAGGCGTTGAAGATGGATCAAAGGATCTTGATGAACTCCGGGAGTCCTGCAGGAATGCTTTCTTCGCCATTCCAGATTACTTTATTAATCAGTGATGTGAGTCAGTGCAGAGATGTATGTATGCAGTCCTCCAAGCTCATGATGGAGTCAGACACAATATTCCTTCTGTCTCCACTGCAGCAGGACTTTATACTCTATACTGGACATTATTTCTGTTCAGTGACAAGACTTTAGTCTAAGCAAAGTCAAAATAAGCGTCATCTAGAGGCCTTTGCCTTTCATATGAGCCACTTCTGATACCAAATGATCCACTAGAAGTCAAGTTATTATTTGCTGTTCCTAAAACTTGGAAAGGCAACAAGACTTTTGTCAGGTAGTGTATATATTTAATGTGTTGTTGTTATATATTCATTAAAAAGATGGTTGTGTTGATCAGAAATGCCTACTTTGTTGGTCACACTTGCGGTTTTAGATTGTGTTTTGAATCATGTCTGTTATACCTCTTTTTACAAGATAAAATAAATCTCAGAGTATCACATTAGACACTCTAGGGACATCAATGTGAGTTTCAGCTCAAAATACCACACAAATAATGGTTTTCCACTCTCTGAAACTGACCCTTTAAGGCAGGGGTCACCAATCCTGGTCCTGGAGGGACGGGGTCCCTGCAGGGTTTAGCTCCAACTTGCCTCAACACACCTGCCTGGATGTTTCAAGTATACCTAGTAAAACCTTGATTAGCTTGTTCAGGTGTGTTTGATTAGAGTTGGAGCTAAAATCTGCAGGGCACCGGCCCTCCAGCAACAAGTTTGATGACCCCTGCTTTAAGGCTTTGATTCTAACTGTAGTGTTTTGGTACTGTCACTTTAAATGCAAATGAGATTGTGCTCTTTCAGAAGTGGGCGGAGCTACAAATGCCTATGAATATGCATAGTGGCAGATTCAAAAACAAGACTAACGTCCTTTGCTAATGAGGGAGAGATGGTCACTAATGGGCGGGGCTTTCCCACTCTGATGACACGTAAAAAGGGAGAATGTCAATCAAAGTGTTTCTGCAGACTGTTCTTATCAAGTCTGATGATACAAAATACAATTAATACATGTTTACCTTTAGAAGCTGCTTATATTCACACACTGTGTTTAAACTCCTTATAAAACTGATTTTTGCATAATATCCCCCCTTTAAGATCATTTACCATTGAGGATTTATTGTTTGGGGGTGAACTTATTTGCAGTTTGCTGGTGATCTTTTCCATCTGATGAAACATCTAACTGGATTGTTATTGTTAACGTGTAATTGGCTTGTTTACTGCGCTGAGAGAGCTAATGGTTTAATTGACTATAATGGAAGATCAGCTTGATTTGCAGTGGGTTAGATGCTGTGAAGTTCTGTCCCTCGTGAAGCACTTTATAACACGTGAGGACGGATGGAGGGATGTTAATAGTCACAGACCAGACTGAAATAACAGAATGGAAATGAAGTAAGATCGTGACCGGTAAAAGTAGTTTGGTGGTCAATTAGTAAGGAATGTGTTTATGAGGTTGGGAGGAAGTTAATGTTTGGAGATGGATGGATGGATAGATGGTTTATGAATGGACGAATAGATTACAGATGGATGGATGATGAATGGATGGTAAATGAATGGATGGATGAATGGTTAGGTGGCTGATGGATGAACAGATTATAGATGGATGGAAAGATAGATAAATTGATGGATGGATGGATGGGTGGATGATGAATGGATAGATGGATGATGAATGGACACTTGGTTGATGGATGAATTCAAAGATAATACAGTAGATGGATGGATGGATGGATAGATGTATGAATGATGAATAGATGTATGGATGCATAGATTATAGATGGATGGATGAATGATGGATGGTTAGATGGATGATGAATGGACACATGGTTGATGGATTAAAAGATAATACAATAGATGGATAGATATGGATGGATGGATGGATGGATGGTTGATGGATTGATAAATAGATTATATATGGATGGATGGATGGACGGCTGATAAAGGGATGCATGGTTGATTGATGGATGCATAAATTAATGAATGAATAGATTCTAGATTAATGGATGGATGGATGTTTAGGTGGTTGATGGATGGATGGATGAATAGATTATAGATGGAATGATGGATGGATGGATGGATGAATAGATTATAGATGGAATGATGGATGGATTGATGGATGAATAGATTATAGATGGAATGATGGATGGATGGATGAATAGATTATAGATGGAATGATGGATGGATGATGGAGGGTTAGATGGATGATGAATGGACACATGGTTGATGGATTAAAAGATAATACAGTAGATGGATAGATAGATGAATGATTAATGGATATATGGTTGATGGATGAATAGCTTATAGATAGATAGATAGATAGATAGATAGATAGATAGATAGATAGATAGATAGATAGATAGATAGATAGATAGATAGATAGATAGATAGATAGATAGATAGATAGATAGATAGATAGATAGATAGATAGATAGATAGATAGATAGATAGATAGATGAATGGTTAGGTGGCTGATGGAAGGATGAAGTTTATAGATGGATTGATATATTATAGCTAGATTGATGGATGAATAGATTATAGATAGATAGATAGATAGATAGATAGATAGATAGATAGATAGATAGATAGATAGATAGATAGATAGATAGATAGATAGATAGATAGATAGATTATAGATAGATAGATAGATAGATAGATAGATAGATAGATAGATAGATAGATAGATAGATAGATGAATGATGAATGGACAAATAGAGTATAGATGGATGGATGGGGGGACAAATAGATATTTGATGGAGAAATCAATAGATGGATGCATGATGAATGGATACATGAATTTGATGGATGATGGATGAATAAATGAATGATTAGACTACAGGGATGGATGGATGGATGGAAGTTTGATGGATTGATAAATAGATTATATATGGATGGACGGCTGATAAAGGGATGCATGGTTGATTGATGGATGAATGAATGAATGAATAGATTCTAGATAGCTTGATGAATAATGGATAATTGGATGTTTAGGAGGTTAATGGATTGATGGATGGATGAATAGATTATAGATGGATGGAAAGATAGTAGATGAAATGGATGAATGGATCGATGGATGATGAATGGACACTTGGTTAATGGATAAATTAAAAGATAGTAGATGGATGGATGGATATGTATGGATGATGAATGGATATATGGATGGATAGATGAATAGATTATAGATGGATGGATGGATGGTTAAGTGGCTGTTGGAAGGATGAATAGTTTATAGATGGATTGATATAGCTCGATGGATGTATGGTTAGATAGTTGATGAATGGACAAATAGAGTATAGATGGATGGATGGAGGGACAGATAGATGGATGCCTGATAAATGGATACATGGTTGATGGATGAATGAATGATTAGATTAGATTAGAGGGATGGATGGTTGATGGATTGATAAATAGATTATATATGGATGAATGGATGGCTGATAAAGGGATGCATGGATGGATTCTAGAGTGATGGAAGGATGGATGGACGTTTAGGTGGTTGATCAATAGATAGATATATAGATGGATGGATGAATAGACAGATGGTTGATGGATGGATTGATTACAGATGGATGATTAGGTGATTGATGATGGATAGATTATTGATGATGGATGGACGGATGTTTCGGTGGTTGATGGATGGATGAATATATTATAAATTGATGGATGAATAAATGGTTAGATGGTTGGTGAATGGACAAATAGATTATAGAGGGATGGATAGATGATAGATTATAGAATATAGGTGGAGGGATGGTTAGGTGGTTGATGGATAGATTGATTATAGATGATGGATGGATGAATAGATTATAAATGGTAGATGAATGGTTAAATTGTTAATGAAAGAATGGATGAATAGATTATTTATGATAGATGCCTGGAAGATAAATGAATGGATGAATGGTTAGATGATTGATTGATGGATTAATAGACATTATAGATGATGGATGGACACTATACAGATGCATGGACTGGTAGAATAGATGGACTGGATAGAAGGATGGGTTGATGGATGAGTGAAAGTCGTAATGTTTTGGATTTAAATGGATGGATGAACAGAGAGATGAACAGATTGATAGAAGTGAACAGCTAAATTGATGCGTGGATGGATGGGTGGATAATAGATGGAAGTATAAACATTATAAATGATGGACGGATGGATGAATGATAGATATATAAGCATACATAGAATGAGAGATATAAACAGACAGATAGACAGATGGATGGATGAACAGATGGACAGATGGTCATCCTCACAGACATCTGTCAAACACTTGAATGGAAAGAGACGTCTATAAAACCAAAGCCAGCTCTGTTATTAGTGAGAGTTCGTCAGGCGAGTCAGAAGTGCTCATCTCGGCTCTGCGTCTGCTTTATTTCATGTCAGCTTTGCTTTAACAGAAGAGCGTGACCCTCTGTTCTCAAACTGTGAC